AAGTACAAAAATTCATTAACGTATTACTCTGTGAGGGGAAGCTTTCAACGTTTTTCATTAAATAACACTTTAATCCGAAATATCTTCAAAACAATAAAATATGCTTCTCGCTTTTATTTTATTTTCTGTTGAACGCTCTATCAAACGGTTTCTGAATGATACGCACATACATGCTGATGGGGCACTTAATTTCAAGATTCGGGTGCTTAAAATAAAATAAATCTCAGATTTTTGTATTTTCCTGTTGTTTGTATCATAAAAGCTACCAATGTACCAAGTCTCAGCATTCTAATTTGTCGGGAAGTTCCCTTGAGGCTTCTGAGACATTCATATTAAGGTATTTCTTTATATAGATTCTAAAACAGCTCATGCAATATTTCAGTTTGCTCTACGTTTATCACTAATTCATATCTTTGCAATGCCACCAAGACCCGTAACGTCACCGGCGTTGACCGATACTTTGACAAAAATCGCATGCAAACTCCTGTTACTGCTTCCACCGTCGACTTCATGCACATGATGGTCGCATCAAGCGTATTTACTGCTCTGGATGACAAACTAGGGGATCGCGAACATCGACCGAGGCTCGTCTGAAATCACCGCCCAACCGGCTCAACCACCGGTTGTCCCCATGTGTAGAAATGCATGCAGGACTCTCGGGTGGAGTGGAGACACCGTGAAACGTCGTTCCCATTTGCTTCGAGCACAAATTCAACCCAGGCGCGAGGAAGACCGAACAGAGCAATGTGTGCACGGTGTTTGTCATGGAAAACGCACGCGTGAAATTTCCAGCAGTGCGCTTTCATTACGTGTACAGACTGTGCACGTGTGCCAATCCACTGCTGGATGAGGGACTCCGCAGGCTCTGCAGGTCGTCGTATTTTGACCATACTTCACCACGCCAGTCTTTGCGGGTTGAAGGCGAGGAGCAGAGAAGTGGTAGCATATAAGTGCCGTACAACCCTCTGCTGCTCACCACGTGATCCCACAGCCTGTTTGTGTCTAGTGGTCACTCGGGTTGTTAAAATAGATATTATTGTTTTTGCATTGCTTGTAACTGCATGCGAAAATAACTGGTGGGTGGCAAGAACCACACGCGGCCGCCTTTGTCTCCCTCGTGGCGATGTTCACACACCGCACCAGGTACTCGTTTTAAGGCTGAGTCGACCTAGGGGAGGCCCGAGACCGGTTCAGAGATAATCGTCACCGATGTTGGCCGTGAGCGGGGATCGAACTCGGGTCGCCGGTTCAATAGCGCAGCGTGGCGCTTGCCACTACACTCCCGCTCCCCACCACACACGTACACACACCACACACGTCACACACGTACACACACCACACACGTACACACACCACAGACACATCACACACCACACACGTACACACACCACAGACACATCACACACACACACCACATACGTACACATACCACACACCACACATACACCACACACACACCACACACACACCACACACACACACACCACACACACACCACACACACACACCACACACACCACACACACCACACACACACCACACATACACACCACACACACCACACACACACCACACACACACACCACACACACCACACATACACACCACACACACCACACACACACACCACACACACACCACACACACACCACACACACCACACACACCACACACACACCACACACACACCACACACACCACACACACACCACACACACACCACACACACACCACACACACACCACACACACACACCACACACACCACACACACACCACACACACATCACACACACCACACACACCACACACACACACCACACACACCACACACCACACACACACCACACACCACACACACACCACACACACACACCACACACACCACACACACCACACACACCACACACACACACCACACACACACCACACACACACACCACACACACACACACCACACACACCACACACACACACCACACACACCACACACACACCACACACACACCACACACACACCACACACACCACACACACCACACACACCACACACAGACCACACACACCACACACACACCACACACACCACGCACACCACACACACACACACCACACACACCACACACACACACCACACACACACCACACACACACCACACACACACACCACACACACCACACACACATCACACACACCACACACACCACACACACACCACACACACCACACACACCACACACACACCACACACCACACACACACCACACACACACACCACACACACCACACACACCACACACACCACACACACACCACACACACACCACACACACACACCACACACACCACACACACACACCACACACACCACACACACCACACACACCACACACACACCACACACACACCACACACACGCCACACACACCACACACACCACACACACACCACACACACCACACACACACCACACACACCACGCACACCACACACACACACACCACACACACCACACACACACACCACACACACACCACACACACACACACCACACACACACCACACACACACACCACACACACACCACACACACACACCACACGTGCTCCAGGTGACAGGCACGAGCGCGCGCTTGGGAGCGACGCGCAAAGCGTGACCGGAGCCAGCTATAGAGACACGACTGTTGCTATTGTTTTACTGATTTACAACAACAACAACACCCCTATAAATTATTATTAACTCGTTGAAACGGGAAAATGAATAGCAAACAAAAAAAACAACGGCGAATCCAAAGAAAAGCGACAATTGAGATTGGATATCTGTTCCAAACCTCAAAACTAGCTCCAACTTTAGCACTATTCTTAAACTGACCTCATCATTCACTCCTAACGTAACGCTAGACGAAATAACGAAAACGAATCATATTTTAAATACTAACCCTATAAGTAACGTTTATCCGAATGCAATAAAGAAAACCTGCCCATACCAGTCATCTCAAGAGTCATCATTAGCCCTGGAAACACAACCAGATCCACAACCCCCCAAACGTACATTAACTCTAACCTCAACAAAAAAAACACTAAAACTGTTCAGAAGCGTAACGACCGTAACCATTATTCTAACACTGCCCCGGAACATTAACTCTCTCCATAATGCTAACCCTATCTTGAAAACTCGCCCTTTTTGTAACAACGGCTGTATGCATACTCTATGTTGGACTTCTTTGGCACCGTACGCAGCCAGCCGTGCTAACCGGAGGTGGGGGGGACGACGACAACAAACGACTATAATCCTTTCCCTGACACTAACTCCCGATTCTGACGCGAGCCCAATCACATCATCCCGGGCCGTACTCCCAACTCATCCTGGTTCTCATCCCACAGCTGTCACCTGTCACGCATGCGGCGTGTGCCTTGGTGTCCCACACTCCCATTGTCCTTCCTACCCTTCTCCCCACGCATCTCTCATCACCCCGCTGCTAGGCAATCCCACTGCTCCTACTCATCCTCCAGCTGAGAGGGACCTGCCATACTCAAGGCACCCCACGTCGCCATCGCCCCCTTCCTTTGGCTAGATTTCGTATTTGATGCACAGTCAACATCCGTTCTTGCACTGTCGCACCATCGGGTTTAAAATGCCTTCCTTCCCCTTGGACTGAAACCTCTCAAAAATCTCGTCCGTAACCTTCCTTCCATCCAACACACGCGTCCCAGCGCACACCGCCTCGGTCTGCACATCCGGAGCCTCCAAGTTGCTGCCGATGGTGGTGGTGGTGAATAAGTGGCGCGGTGGTTCTTTCGCTGCTCGATGGACCCGGAGACCTCACTCACGGTGACGTCTGATCCCCTCCACGTCGATGCCAGCGTCAAGGGACGTCACGCGACCTGATGCCGCATGGGAGATGCCTTCATCCAGCATGAGAGTTACAAAACTTCAGCAGCGGGTGACTTAGATGGTCTACACATTCAAATTCCGCGCGCTTCTTTATGTTGGTTGTCCGAATAACTCGTTGACCCGTTTCAGCAACACATTCCAGACATTACTCCCCAAAGACAAAGCTCCCCCGTTTCTCGCCTTGTTGGGGCAAGTTAGAACAGACTGTTGTTAGCGAGCACTCATGAGGACCGGCACGGCCGCATTTGCCTGCCCGGTGGCGATGGAAACCACACAGACACATCGCCACGGGGAGATTCGTTTGAGGCTGAGTCGACCCAGGACCGGTTCGGATAATTGTCACGGGTGTTTGTGGCCCTGAGCGGGAGTTGAACTTTGGTCGCAGGGGTTCGTAGCGCAGCGCAGCGCGCTAACCGCTACACAACCGCTACCCCACACAAAAACAAAGATCATCCGTCTAGACTTAACAGACTGTTGGGGCAAGTGCTCTTAGAGAGCACCTATGAAGGCCGGAACGGCACACGAGGGGGTGGCGATGTTTTTACGCACCGCACCAGGTACTTATTTGAGGCTAAGTCAACCTAGGGGAGGCCCAGGACCGGTTCAAACAATCGTCACTGCTGTTGGCCGTGAGCGGGCATCGAACTCGGATCGCCGGGTCTGTAGCGCAGCGTGGCGCTAACCCCTACACCACCGCTCCCCACGCACAGAGACAGACATAGACACACAGAGAGAGACACACACAGAGAGAGACACACACAGAGAGAGAGACACACACAGAGAGAGACATAGACAGAGAGAGAGACACACAGAGAGAGACACACAGAGAGAGACACACAGAGAGAGACACACACAGAGAGACACACACAGAGACAGACATAGACACACAGAGAGAGACACACACAGAGACAGACATAGACACACAGAGAGAGACACAGAGAGAGAGACACACACAGACATAGACACACAGAGAGAGACACACACAGAGAGAGACACACACAGAGACAGACATAGACACACAGAGAGAGACACACAGAGAGAGACACAGAGAGAGACACACACACATAGACACGACTCCCAGCACCTGCTCCGCAAGAGCCACCCACCGTGAACTCCTGCAGGATCGCGTAGGCGTGTCCCTGGTGCTCGCACTCGCTGCGGGGCTCCGCGCACTGCGGGCAGCAGCCACTGCGCTCCACGCGGGCGCAGCGCGCCTCGGCGAATCGCGGGCACTCGGGCTTGGGGCACACGGGGCCGTCGGGTGTGCAGCGGCACGGGCACGGCGAGCGACCCGGCCAGAACTCCTCGCCGAGTCCGTACACGAAGCCCGTCTCGTCCAGGCAGCCCTTGCCGCGGTAGTCCTCCATCTCGTAGTCCTGCGGCACGGCCGACGGGGACGACGGGGAGGGTGGCCACGCCTGGTAGCCGGGCTCTGCCGGGTACGCGAGGCTCGACAGAGGCCCCTGCGGCAGCAGCAGCGGCGGCAGCAGCAGCAGAAGTCGCGCGGCCAGGCGTGGTGGTGCAAGCGTGGGTGTCATCGTTGTACTGTACTCTCGTCTGCTCCTGGCTGTGGTCGTGGCCACTGTGAGATGCGCACGCCGCTTTCAAGTCACTTTTGTGGGTAGCGGAGCAGCCGCGCGGAGGAGGAATGAGTCCTTCTGCTGGAGGGCTTGGGACCCCCTCGCGATACAAATGCCCGAGTGCTCCTCTTTAGTATTCCGTCCTGCTTCAACTCGAGCAAGCCCGCTTGCGCTCTCGCTCGCTCGGGTTTTATGTGTGGTGTGCTGTGTGTGTGTGCGTGCGGTGGGCTGTGTGTGTGGTGTGAAGTGTGTGTGTGTGGTGCGTCTCTTCCGTCCACTTCTTTTTTTCCCTCTTTAGGAAGCCCAGTTATTATTATTATTCGTACAGAACGAGGAGAACGGGTGACACTTTGCCGCAATTTGGTGCGCGCGCTTCCTTAAGCGGCAGCGGCGATATTGATGATCTCAGCCCGAATGAACGGCGCCTCGAGCGAGACGTTGCGCTCTGTGTTGTGGCTTGGACCGGTTTTCGTGATCATCCTGATTGCCACTCGCAGCGTGTAAACTGCCATAGGAGCGCAGGGTGGTAGCATCGAGTAAGATGGCAACGCGCCAAACAGTCGTCTATGTGAATAAACCACGTTCTTTACAGAAATCGTTTTACGTTCTTAATTTTTTTGAACGTGTTTTCCAAGTTGCACGCTATGATTTCGATACGAATCGATTGATTCGTATGTACTGTAATATTTCAGAACACACTAGTTGTATTTTATTAAATTGTCACATGACACGGTAGACTTGCTGCTGTTGCTTATAGCGAATATTTCAAGAACACGACAGCCCTCGAAATCCATTGATGCGAAGTCATCACGTGCGTCCACGTGATGAGTGAAATATAAATGAAGGCTAAGAGTAGCTCTCACGTGTGTAATTGTACCTCCGGTTAGCACGGTTGGCTACTCCCAAAGAAGTTGAACAAACATACATTAACACAAAGGTTGACGAGTCTCCTGCACATCTGTGAAAAAGAGCTTCATGGCTTATCATATTTTCATTCTGAGTTAAAGTATGTAAAATTGTATTCGCAGTCTGGTAAGTCTGCGCTCGTGTTAAAATCAGTTATGCATATGATTAGTCCATCGAGATGGGTCGTCACTATAAGCCTGTAATTAAGTATGTGTGAATAAAATAGTATATATTAATTTGTACTCAAATTACCAAGTTATATAATGTTACACGTTTGATTCTGACCCACACTCATGATGGAAGCATCGTCTGTAAGTGCTTTATGATTGTGTATTTAGCTCTCCTGTGTACATTATTAAAGCTGCGATCTTATGATTGTTAAAAACGGAATTTCATTATGGCCTCCGCTCTAGTTATCTGAGATGCATATTGACGTGCGACCTCAATGGCCCAGCCACGTGGCTTTGGGGAGAGTCAATTGTAGGAACGTTAATTCCATCTTTCTAGTGTGAAAATAGGGATGAGGGAACAATGCATGCACAGACTATTGTGTTGTTTAGTAATGTGTGTCCAGCTTGTAACTTGATAAGAGTTATGAAGAATCTGACAGTCATGCAGCAACCTGTGTTGTCATTCACTGGTTGTGATGCCTCAGTCCATAAAACTTGATCCATAATAGAGGTTTTTTGGGTTAAATATATAAATGTGTCGTTAAACCCGCCACCACCCGACACAGCCAACTAGTAAGGATTGTCACGTAAACATAACGTGCCAATTCGTCACGAGTACAGCACTAACCGGTGTGTTGGAGAACCAAGCCACAGCATTTACAATCTGAGTACGACGTTTCACCAGTAATTACAACTAGCTTCATCAGGCGACAGCCAGATTTGTGGGGAAGTCCACCTGTTTCGTCCTGAAATAGAGGCGTAGATGTGTATTGTTGTTGTGTTCTCTATTCCCTGGCTCAGTGTTAATGTTGTACTGCAGTCTGTTCTACAATTTTACCACCAGCGTATGTGCACGCATACAGTATGCACGTATGTGTTCTTCTATAAAAGCACTGGAATTAGATGATCAGCCTGGCTCTGCATGTGTCATTGGAGGTTCTAGGTTGACTTACCTGGATAGCTGTGCAACGCAGCACAGAGAGAGGCCCGGATATCACTGTTTTAAGACACATTGCTTCTTCATTCCAAGTCTACCCCATTTACTTTCTGTAAACAGTTGATTAATTTCTGGTTCTGGATTAAAAAAAAATGTAATCCTTTTAAGAATGTCATAAGCGACCATGTCTGGTTGCTCAACTTAAATATTAAGCAGCTTGTAGTCGGTACAGTCGCCTTCAAACTGAAAGTGTCCTTGTACAAATATGGATGTTGTCGGTGCTCTGTTAGCAGCTATGAACCAGTGGTTGAAATTCCACATTCTCATGGCAGGAGCCATCAAATGGCTGAACTTAATTACTTGACCCCAGTATATTGATAGGCTTGGGACTACCCTGACATACTATTAATTACAGTCATTAAATTTGTTTAGGCTATTTAGACTTCAATTAAGGTATTAAATAATCCATATCGCATGTGATCATCCATATATTATGACACGGTTAGAGATTAAGCTTCTTAATAGTGTCAGTATTGGGTTTTTTTCATTATGTTGTAAGTTAAACAATTATGAGCACATCTGACCACCACTTTGTTAGGTGGACCGGTACCAGTGGTGTCAAGATCGGGCCCTGGAGGAGGCTCGTGAAGGACGCGACTGGGCAGTTGGAGGCAGTCGCCCTCCAACAACAGAGGAGGGCAGAGGAGCGACGCTCACAACAACGAGCAGAGTGCTGGGTGGATAAAACGCAACAAGTTGGCACATTTGGGAGCACATGTGGTGCATCTGCCAGTCATCTCAGTCATTCAATCCGTGACACCTGCTGGGTCTGTTCTATGATCTCCTGTCAGCGAGCCTTCGGCACTTCACGTGATGGCCTCAAGGTGCACCTAGCCTGGCATAAGCGGGCATGTTGAAATCACCATCACTTAGTGGCGACCCGCGTTTGTTGTTTTTGGCAAAAATAGTGTCATGAGTTCATATATGCAAAAATGCAGTTGGAATTTAAGGTGCAAACGAGAATAATGTGCTCCAATCAGATTTACTACAGATATCGTGCTGGATTTAGAGCGGAGTGTAGTAGACATTTGCTCGAGTGCTTAAGCGATTGTTGCACTCTAGGGCACTTTTGCTGTCACTTGGCACATACATCACGGGTACGCATGTGCTTAATATTGGCAGGCAGCAGGAGCCTATCAACACCTTTGGTTTCACAAAGGAGAGATAAATACATGTTAGCCGATCATTGAAATTTCAGTTAAAAATTTGCTTCTCACATCGGTCTCTGAGGAATAACTTCTGAATATGAGAGGAGGCAATACATTGTGAAGTTTCCTCAGTAGACAATGCAATCAGCGTTGCTATTGAGTTGTGATTGTGAATTGTCAACCCTGTGGAATTGCTTTTGTTTCTAAAATATTAATTTTCAAGAGTGACGGAATACAATGATTCATTTTTTAAAAATAATCTTTGCTCAGAACAAAAAGTTATAATAATTTTAAGTTAATTAAGCGCTAAAAGTATTGCATCGCTTATCCTTTTATTCATTATTTTCTATGCAGTCGCACGCTATAGGTGAGTTTTTTTAATTTACCATTTGTCCATCAGGTATCCGCATCTGCCATGGTGTGTGCAGTGGATGCGGTTTAGAGCGGACCATGAGCTTCGTAGAAGATCAAAGCCGGGGATGTTCTGCGTTGGGTCTTTCACAACAAGGTGCTTGCGAGTTCTTTTGAACTACATTCAGCTCTCCAAGCTTCATTATCTGCGATGTTATGCGCACATACACTCCATTTATCCAGCAAAGTGGATGGGTGACAGTGGATGGGTAGAAGGGAGATTTGATAGTAACTGAAAAGGAGTGGCGTTGAAAGCAGATATCGTTTCTTAATGAGAGTTTGATTGTTGCTGGATTTTCAAATTGTGTATAAAGTAACTCTGTTGTGAGTACCATGCTTTTTTCTGTGACCTTCAAAGTGAATGTCTTCTGGAAACATAACCTTTGGAGAAAATCTAAGCATGTGATAAATCACATTATCTGGTTGGAACAACAGTGCTGTTGCATTGCTACCTTTCTATTCCGTTATGTGACAGTTTTGTAAGTGCTCATGGCCATGGTAATGGGAATCAGTGATTTGTTTATCTCTCATCGCAGTGCCAATGCCATTACCAACACGACTGTGGATATACTGTAATTTAGTACAGTGCAATAACACTGTTAGTTTAATTCTTTACACATAACATTTCCTGCCTTTGGCATTGCAGCCCTTTTTTACAATGCCTTTTGATTATTATAAACATTGCAATGTTTAATAAGCTGCAGGGCTCAGCTGGAGACTAAAAGGTCAATATGTTTTTTCTAATGACATGGAGGCATTTTTGTCGTGATTTGGACACCAGATCCTAAAGTTCCCAACTGCTGCCTTTCATGCATGTTCCAAATGAGATCAATTTACCTGTGTTATGAATGGAAATAATTGCTTCAGAATATCTAACAGCATGTCTGATGCAGAGGAATACAATGTAACGAGAATTTCGTGTGCACATAATGATTTGTTTTTAGATTGAGCTGCCTTCCTTCAGGCGAGGGCGTCTTGAGAGTGCTTTACACGTGATGAGTGTTTGTGTGTATGTTGAACTTCTTTCGCACCGTATGTAGCCAACCGCGCTAATCGGAGGTGCAGTGGAAAAACAAACTAAACACAGAAAAAACTTCTAAAGAAATTAGTTTTCAATTGAGATTATTTAAAAGTGCATAGCTCCAGTGGCTTCCGAATATCGGAAGGAAGTGCATTCCAAGTGGCCGCAGAAACACGACGCGTGATACAGTGACCGTCTTTGTTCAATGACATCACACCTAAACTTAACACATTTGAAACGACTCGCCACTCGGCCTACGAGCCGGCATTAGTCTGCCAGTCGTGGGCTATGATTTCTACTTGCAATCGGAATTGAAGAATTTGCGGGAAACTTTTCGAATGTATACAAATTAGAATTGCGATGCCTGCAGGCTATGGCCTACTCGTCGTGTTAACAACCACTGTGAAGCATAGAACACTGATTTCTACAGTTAATACACACCGCAGTAATAACCAGGGAGGCCTGCCGGATTCTAACAAGTGGCCATGCCACGTCTGTAAGCAGGTGACATATCAATCACATATCTACTTCGTGGTATAGACAACCAACATGATTTTGGTTCGTCATATGAAGGTAATGCGAGTATTTTAAATGGTGAACATTGTTCTGGGATTGGGGGCCCAGTTTCGTTGTTATCACCACTAAACTCGCGAGAATGCACTCGCAGAGACAACACTTAAAGCCAATGAACAGTGCTAAGCCTTTAATCATCATGCCACGCTATGAATTGCTTGGCCTAGTTTGAGTGTACATCTCTGGTGCCCAAACACACGATGTTTAAAGAGAATATTTATGCATAGCAACGCTGACAGTTACATTTTTTTTAAATTAACGAGCATACGTGTTACGTAAGAAAACTTTTGCTAAGCCTGGATTCAACACGAGTAAAGCTAGGTTGTATTGATGAACACATTTAGAAATGTACCTATTTGCAATGAGAAAACGTGTGCATTTGTGTCTTTCGTTCACGTAAAGTCCTGGTCACAAAAGCTACTTTTTGGGTGGAATAATAGCCATGTTCTTTACTTTTTAGGCATAAGAAATTTAAAAACTAACACTTAGTACTCAGGAACAAAATTGTCTTACATAGTGTAATGTGTAATGCATCAAAAGCTGGGGAAAACTTTCCCCCGCGGGCAATGCATGAGCATGTGAGAACAGTAGTCAAGTCTACTCGCCTATACACAACTTCGAATCAGATAACGCAATGGCAAATCCCGTGGAGATGTGCTTCTACCAAAGCTTTCC